GCAGCGGGGTTCATTAATGACTTTATATATATTACTGGTGCATTGTCATTAACATCGGTGATATCGATCATTACTTTAGCGTCGGATGAAAGCCCATAACCATCTTTGGCCTCTATACGCATCTCATATTTTGAATTTGTCTCAAAATCAAGCATTCCTGTGACCTTTATCTCTCCTGTTTTACTGTCCAGTGAAAAAACCCTTTTAGCTCTTTCTGTAATGCGATTAAATTCGTACGACACCTCTCCGTTCACTCCCTCATCTGCATCAGTTGCGCTTACAATTACAACTAAAGTGTTAAGATTTGAATTTTCAGGTAGATTGGCTTTGTAAACGGCCTGGTCAAACACTGGCGCGTTATCGTTAGCATCCAACACAGTAACGTGTATAACGGCACTTCCTGACCTCTGTGGATTTCCACCATCGACTGCAGTCAGGATGAAATTTAAATCGTTCTCATTTTCGCGGTCTAGCTCTTTATCTAGCACCAGCTCGATGCTCTTAGTCCCATCAGCATCTTCTCGAACAGATAAAACAAAATGGTCATTCTTTTGTAAACTGTATTGTTTGACTGCGTTCTGCCCAATATCTACATCATGTGCTTCATTCACGCGGTATCGAGCTCCTTTAACTGCTGATTCTCTTATTTCCAACTTAACTGTATCTTTGGGGAAAACTGGTGAATTGTCGTTTACATCCAGAATAAGCAGTGAAATACGGTGCAGCTCCAAAGGGCTCTCCACGACTAATTCAAATTTAAGCATGCACGAAAGCCTCTCCCCGCACAGCTCCTCCCTGTCAATCTTCTCCCTGATGACAAAATTTCCAGTCTTGAGGTCAATGTCGCAGTAATGCTGGTAGTTTTCCTCTGTATCAATCCGGGCTTTACGAGTGAACAATTTAGCTACTTCCAGGCCGAGATCCTTGGCAATATTCCCAACAATGGATCCCGGTCTCATCTCCTCCGGTGCAGAATAGCTGAGGTCTGCAGCGGTTATCTCGAAAAACAGAGCAAAGCCGAACACAAAACAGAGTGAGGC